GTTTTAAAACTTATTTCCTTTATGATCATTCTGATTTTAATAATAAATTGTTAAATTCATTTGATTACACCTCCTGAATGCACTTAAGGCCTATGAATAAGCCTAATTTACTAGTACTAACAGGTAATTAGGCCTACCGCTTAAATCATTAACCACAGTAGAAAACAATTTCTAATCTTCTATATAATTGAGAGATTGACTTATTTGGCTATTTGTCATTCATTTAGATAATTACATAAAAGAAAACTTGACAATTAATATAATTTCCTAGTAGGCCTAAATCTACTGTTTTCCAAAATGGTCCTGATTAATGCAGAAAGTAATTAAAGTTACAGATGAATATCACGCGATTAATCATCATAGGTAGAGGAGTTTTGTGATTGTATTTAAACAGGTTGTACTGTACAGCAAGTACAGCAACCAAACCAATGGGGATTAATATCAGTTTAATCGAGGATGTGTCTAGATTTTGATGATGTTTAAACTTAAGCTTTTGTTAAATATAGGCCTATAATCTGTATCTCAATTGGTTGTAGATTTGTTACAAATTTATAATTTCATCTTTATATCAGCTGTAACGAAAATCTTTTAAACTATGAGTCAATTACAGTCGATCCCCTATAACACTGTTGATAATTCCGTTTTATATGAATTTCGTGTTGTACGAGTCACTTAGATTTTACAAATACGTGAGCCGTTCACAGCCCGGCAAACGTATTTGTAAAATTTAAGTGACTCGTACAACATGGAATTCATATAAAACGGTATTATCAACAGTGTTATAGAGGGGTCGACTGTATACAAGTTTATGCGCATAATTGTTCAATCATTCTATCTATAAACGTTTTCGATTTATAGAATAAACTTCTGTAAAGATTTACACGATTAATTCTATTATCTAAATAGGTTTTAAGTGATTTGAAAGAGATTATCAAAGAACGAACGATACCGAGTGACCTACTATAAACATCAATAAATAGATAAGTACGGTTGTATGTTTATCTACACTTATCTGACAGGCTGAAATCTGTATTTAGTACAATATATGTACGGCTAAACGATTCGGATTTCTCTACGTAAATTAAAAAAAAAACGTATTTATGATTGAAAAAATTATATTAAACTGTATGTTTAACAACCGTTTCTTTAGATATGTAGTACAGTACAATGAAAAGAATAAAACAGTTAAATTTTGTTACAAGGATACTTATTTGAATCTGCCACCTTAAACAAACAGAATAGAGATTTTTTGGAGGTCACTTTCTTATACAAATAATTTAACTTTACTTAAAAAAAAACTATTATTTCAAAGAATTTTTGTTATAATGGAGAAAACCGGTAAAATTGGTATAAAAATTCGGTCATAAGTTGCAACTTAACCAGTTATAATTCATGCATATATTTTGTAGAATTTGTTATTGTTATTTTAAAATCTGATCCAAGGGTTTAGAATTTATTTATGTCATTAATTTTAATATAAGCAATCGTATGTCACAAGTAGATGCTTTGTAACTTATACCTGGCGCGTATTTTTCTAATATCGATCGACACAAGACTGGAAAAAGAAATGGTCCACAGATTAATGAATCGAACAATAGAAGAGCGAGAGAGAGAGAGAGTCTTTTAAGCCGTTCGGCTTCAAAAGTAGAACTCGAGAGGGGGGCAATAAATGAAATGCACTTCCGACGCCGACGCTACAGGATTGGATTTCCAGCATATGCAAACCATTACAAATGGTGTCTTGTCATTTAAGATGCTGTCTTTGCAAGAAAAATGGAGAGTTTGTTCCTACCATCTATCGTTTTCTCAGAAATACGATTAATATTTGTATTTTGTAACATTAACTTAGCAAGGATATTAACAAACTTATACGATACAGTACACGTCGGTACTAGGTTTTATACATCTCACGCCAAGTGAAAGATCTACGTAATAATAATTTAAAAAATGTACAGTACAGTATATTTCTAGATTGTCGTAAGTAGCTATTTAAAGTTTAAATCATTTCTTCATAAGAGATATCAATGGACAGCTGGCTGGTAATTCTATATACTAAATCGTGACTGAATATTCGAAGACTACAATAAACAATGCAGGACGCCCACTTCTAAGAAATAGGCCTACGAATATACAAACACAGTATACAAGAAGACATTGTTACAAGTGGGATCTAGTTTGATACGCTTCTTTGCAGAATAAGCCGTTATTATCGCGTTGTATAGAACTAATTACATCTACATAACGGTTATCAGTTATGAGGGTCGTCCAAGCTTTAGCATTAATGACGTGTTTATATAGTCGTACGTGATTGCCTGTTCCTGCGCGCGCGCACTGATGCATACCAAACTGTCCTGTAGGAGGTCTTGCGTGTACCCTCCTAATTTATCCGTTTCACTTTGCATGTTGTGGCTTCCTCTACTGAAAAACGTATAACTAAAACGATGAAATCGAGTATCTTTAATGTACGAGTATAGTTGTATCGTAAATGGTTTCGTTTATGGTACCAGAATGTTAAGGGTGGATCGTCCTCTTCGGTTATCATTTCAACAAAAGAGGATAGGTAAAAAGAATGCACGCTCCTCGTCATTTTTCATTCTTTAGAACATTTTTATGCCAAGCTGCCACGGGGTACGAGCATACCTTAGCGGGTGCACAAACGTCCTGATGGAGCTGTGGGAGACACCGTGTCCTTGCCACTTGTCAGGACACACCTGAGGACACGCAGGGATCAGACAAACCCCAACTCGTTATCTTATTTCTAAGAGAATTAATAGCCTGAACCTAAAAAAATCAGCGGAAATTCATTGTTCTGTCTCTCTTTGCGTTGCACGTTAATTATCATCTTTAGTTAGACATTGGGTAATAACTTCGAGGAACTGTTGTCACAACTTTAATTCCTCGGGCTACGGATAATTTTTTTTTAATCCTGTAGCGTGCTACAGAAGTCACCTTTCTTTCAATGAAAACACGAAGCTACGAGAGTTGCGTAAACGTAATTTCTATTTAATAGAAAAATGAAACAAATTATCATTCAAATAATACGAAAAAATATCAAAACGGTATTTCCATTTCTTAACAAAGTTTGAATGAGAACGAACAAGAAATCCCGTGAGTCTTATGTGGTAGTGCAATGGCCAGAAACTGTGCAGTAAAGGAAAGAAACAAACTCAGCTTGACGAGTATAATGTCATTTGCTGTGACACTAACACCATCGGAGTCGATGATGTTACCGATGGCGATAAAGGTGATGCATCTCGAAGTCGATGAGACATAAAATAAACGCATCCTAGGAAATTAAAAGCTTTCAACGGAAACAGCAAGAAATCCTACTCTGGATGCATCTAACTGGCAAAAAACTTTCTACAAAACGTCCAAATTGTCTGAAAGATTCTTGATATTATAATCCAATCATTCGCGTACAGAATATAAAGCTTTCAATGAGAAACGTACTGTATAATATTTACTTAAAATCTACTTTTTCTGCTTTTATTCATTCTGGGAAAATTATAACTGCTGTCCTCTTGGTTTAAATGCTTTCTCTAAGCAAAATGCAGCAATAAATTCCAATCCCTCATTGCCTTTTATACTGTGTACGTAAAAGACGTGATCTCGATTTCATAATTATAATTAGTTTCAGCTAAACTTAAAGATTTGAATTGTCCAACATTAGAAAGGGAATGTATCTCGGGTATCGTTAGTCTGACGAAAATCGATCTCGTAAAGAAATTTTTAATTTTATACCAGAATGTATACATTAACAAATATTACTCTCGACTGTTTCCATGTTGCAAACAAATGTATAGGCTTATCAAAACAGTATCTTCTTTAGTTTTAAAGTATATAATAAATATATGCTTCTCAAAATTAAAATATGAATAAATCATATAGAGTACATTGAATGCATTCGAAAACCTTTTCCAACGAGTGAAAATATAACAAAGTATAATTTTAAAGAGCTTCTGAGTACCACTTTACAATCTATATCACGTAGAGTAATGCAAACATAATAAAAATTAATGCCATCTACCTCTGCACCATTTATATTCTATTAATTACGATAGAGACGTTTACTCTCGGTAGCATGTGCTTAATTATTTAATCACCCTCTATAAACAACTGCATTTAATTTTATAGATTGCGACTACTCACTGGAAGAATTGTAAATAAAGAGTATCAAGGAATTTACATATTTGATCTAGATACATCTATCCGTATACAAACGAAAGGATGAACGAAGGATTTAGTTTAAACAAATACTAATAAGCAATTAACAATATCGTTTCCACTTATGGGAATTTGCATAAGTATGTTAATACGAGAAGATGGGTTCTCATTCTTGAAACTTCTAATATTCACGCTTATGGATCTCGTGTGTTGTACACCATTCAGTCACACTTGACACGTTACAAGTGTGGAACATGTCAAGTATTCGATGGGCCTCGTGTACTTTATACAAAACTCAATTACAATGTCGCGTTTCCTGCAACACAGATCTGAAGCTCAGTTTCAATGAGGTGTTGACAATAACGGAAAGCATGCTCATTTTACACCTGCTCAAATATATACACCGAATTATACCTGTATCTATACTTTATGTAATGCTTAAGTTATACTAGATGTTGATTGTATTTGAGATATAATTGCATGGTGAGAAGCAGTCAGCTTCACACCATGCAATTATAATACCGTACTTATACAAGACATCCTGTCTGTTTCTGTGTTATACCAATCATACAAACAGACAAATCATGCAACGTAATACGGCATGATAACGGAAAAAAACATCATACTACTTTCTCTGTATTCTATCTAATTTTATTGACTATTGTATCATAAAATTTATCTTTACTTTCAAACCTTAGATAATCCGAGATATGTAAGAATCCTCATAATTAACCTATTCATTACGAAATAAAACATTTACCTTAGCATAAAATCTTTCATAAACCTTAACACGATTTTAAGCGTGAGAAATAAGAGAGGGAAAAGACTGTACTCACCCGATCCAAGCGGAAGAGATGCCTGGATATAGCGACTGTGCAAAGAAGAGTCTGCTGCTGTACATGAGGGTACCAGACCGGCGGTATGTCGAGCCAAATCCGTGAAAAGAGGAGAGGGTGTGGCAGTGTCCATCACGGCCGAACTGGATAGGAAGCGCGACCGATCTGGCTGGCCGTCCATCGGACACAGGCCTGTCTGGTCATGGGGTAGACGGCTTTTACGTCATCCGGTCCATTCTAACCAGTCCATTGAAGCTGCACCTAAAAATACAATATACAATCATATAAATATTATCGGCCAAATATGTTAAATGATTCAACTTTATTGTATAAGTCATCGTGCACCATAATATCAAATCCTAATCCGATTTATACAAATCTGGAAATAATTTAATAGGTGGAGATTTCGACCCAATTTCACTGGTAAACTGATTTTATCGTCGTTTCCCCTTATGAAAAACTGCTTACGTTTCGATTTGTCAGTCCACCCACGTGTTTTTAGATAAAATTATTAAACCTAGTATCTAGCCATATGAAATTTATATACTACTTTTTATATGGGAATAAGAAAATTCCATTAATTTCTTTATTTCTGTTCAAATTGATTCAACTTGAATGTGACGCGACTTCATCTTTTATTGCATTTTTAATGCTTGCTTTTACAAGATAATTTTCTTATATATATAGCAAACTGAATAATTGACTTTGAAAAGATTTCATTGTTTATAAAAATATAATTTGCATCTCTGTAAACCAAAAATGTTTTCAAAGAACGTGAGGGAAAACAACGTAGAAAAATTTAAGAGCAAATAGGGAACAAGAGAGAATGGGGAATACGTATGTTTCAACTGACTTTTTACGCCTTTCATATGAAGATGTCAGATCTAGAATGATAAAAATTTACTAGATAACATCTACATATGAAATGAAAAGTAGTTGTACCGAAAGACTATGAGGATAAATTTTTTTTTTTTTTTTGAGTCTGTTTACTCAACGTTTACAGAATTATAAGCAGTATAATAAAATCCAAAACGTAATCAATCTACTACAAAAGAACCATTAACATAACACAGAAAGAATAATAATAAGTATTATTAAACAGTCTCGAACTAATTAATTTCATTTAAAAATTTTTTAATTGACGAAAAACTGACTTCAATTAGGCTATATATATATATTTTAATAATGATTTATAATACATGTAAATCAGCGAATCAAAGAGTAGACAGACTAGTCTGTAGAACGGATGTATTTAGATGTCGAAATGTCGAGAAAAAGTTCATTATACGGATTAGACGACATCTGTGCAAATTTCAAAATGATTAGATAACTGGTTCCCGGAATAATTACCATCAAAGGAAACACCACCACCAAGCGACTCTGCATTACTGCACTTCTGTAAAGACTGATAGTGGGAGGTTGGAATATATATATATATATTTTTTTTTCCTCAAAACATTAACGAGTACAACCATTGTATAATTACACATTTGGTTGGCTGGTGACATTGATGATTTTCGTTAACAATAACACGCGAAATCATCAGCGTTTTGTTTGTCTGTTAAGTTTACATGGCCGTTAGTAGTGTTTCTTGTACAGTACATTCCAGGTTCTAGTAAACTTTCAGTCAAGGGATCTAGAATGTGTGTGTGCACGTTATCTTTCTTCGGTTGTTTCAATTTAGTCTAAAAATGTAAACAAAGCATTATATTTCTTCCAGGATTTTGTTGTTTTGTATATATTATAGGCTATATTACGTCTAAATATTATCTTTTAATAATTAAGGAGTGTAGAATATACTCAAATTTTAGACTATATACAGTCGACCCCCCTATAAGATATAGATACGTTCCAATTTATTAGGAATCCGATTTCTTACAAGTCGTTCCAATCACAGCCCGACACGTGTGAAGTTTACGGACTNTATATATATATATATTTTACATACAGTCTTTCTTGTAATCGAATCGTATCGGCAGAAGGAAAGGTTTCATACAAGGCAGTACAGAAGAATACTGTATTTTTTTTTATTTTTCACAAAAGTGCTAGATGAGGTTAACGGTATACCACAAAAGGATTTTGTATAGCTTTTTGACGACTGCATTTACTGAAAAAGCAGGCCAGGAAACGAACGTTTTGTTATATTTTTCAACATTTCTACTCCAGTATAAATTACATTTTATAATGTTACTTTCTGATATCAGTTCTTATACATCCCTTTTTTATTATTATTAAGAGAGAATTTTTGTTATCATGATAGAAAAAATGTTCTTGTTATTGATAAGGACAAATTATAAAAATAAAATTGTATATTAATTCCATAGAGAGCAGTCTTTTGTTAAACTTTTTATAACTACACGGATGGACTAAATGAAGAAAAAAAAAACCATTAGCATTAGATGAAATAAAAATAAAATATAATATAATTTGCAATAATCTAGTTATTCTCTCTATCGTCTTAGTTTTAGTACAATATTTTCAAGACTTTTTTAGAATTTATATAATCGCTTGAAGTTTCTAAATAGCCTAAAACTAGATCTATAACTTCAGAAAAATCTATCTAATATAACAGAACTTCATAAACAGGATACAAAAGATAAATTACCTTATCAAATATTAAATACTGTATAAAGTTTCATTATTTGTATAAAAAAAAAAAACTTTCCATAGAAGACAAATTCACTTTAATCTGAAGAATTTTCACCATTTGAAAGCCTTTCCATTATAAGCTGTTAGACGTAATTATGATTTAGAGGGAGAAAATACCAGTTTAAAAAATAATTTTCGTTATTTAAAGCAAATACAAAAACGTTAATATTACTGTTTATAAAAAATTATTAAATTAACGTTGGTTATTCTCCATTTGAAATTAGTACTAAATAGACTGTCTTCATTAAGTATAGACTGTCATAAGAATCTTTCTTCTACGACTTTCTCTAGCATAAACCCCCCTATAATACTGTTGATTATTCTGTTTTAAGTGAATTTCATGTTGTACGAGTCACTTAGATTTTGCAAATACGTGCGCCAGGCTGTGAACGGCTCACGTATTTGTAAAATCTAAGTGACTCGTACAACATGTAATTCAGATAAAACGGAAAAATCAATGATCTTATAGGAGGGTCGACTGTATTAATGCAAACGATTGTTTCACCCTTCGAGTTTTAATGGATTAATGAGAAAAATCGTTTGTACCAACGATAAAATTTTTAAAAGATTCAAATAAAATAAGCGACAGATTTGTCTGTAGTAATAATTTTTCTTTTCTAAAGTTTACTATAAAAACTTGCAATATTAATAATATAGAAGTAACTTATGGATTCGTATAACAACCGCATGGAGTGTAATGTAAAGAAGAATTACCAAAACATACATATATAATAAGCCTTTGGCGTGTATTTTATATCAGTCTTCTATAAATTACAGTTTATTTGACTGGCATGATAAATGTGAAAAATTCTTCATTATTTTAATATATTCCAATGAGTTATAGATTAATCAAATCAAGTCTTATGAAAATGTAAACACGATCGATAGAAAAATCTCTTTACATACACGCTACTTTCCAAGATCTGTTCCAGAAACTAACATTAAAAAAACACAAAAAAAAAAAATTTATTTGCTACAGAATACTACGACTTTCAACAGATTCCACCGTAGACGATTAATGAGAAAATTACGATTTGGATTTTTAATAAGCGTAAAATCTGCCAGATATAATCATAAAAGGCGCAGGTTTAGTACAGTTATTACTACTGCGGAAAACATTCGGGAGGAAGAAAAAACAAACACACACACACACACACACACACATACACACCAAGCTATCCTTTCGCGCCTCTACAGCACCAGATGGCAGTTTCATTCCAAAACGGTTCTGGCAACTTTCCAAAAGTGTGACGTCAAAGCTCTCTTAAGCTGAAGAAAGAGAAGAGAGAGAGAGAGAGAGAGAAAAAAAAAGAAGAGGAGACATTAAATTTTACAGCAGACACTTTCTTTGTCTTCCACCACCTAAGTAAGTGGTGCCGATATCGCCATTGGTTGAATTTTGGGCCACGTGCCAGCTAAGGAAACAAAATAACCTAAAACGTCGCTTGTGCTTTAAGTCAAAAATAACAAAAGAAAGAAAGAAAAAAAAAAAGTTATATAGGGGTGTTTCCCAGCTATTGACAGGTATCATTTTTAGTACAGGTCGGAGAGCTCGACACACGCTAAGAACGGCGCTCGAACGTCAGGTCAGTAAACCAGTCAAGGTTCTCCTCCTACCTCCTGAGGTTGGACAAGATGTAATTGGCAGATATCTGCATCTGCAGCTATTGTGATTTGCAACCATCTGCCTGTAGATTAGCTTAATGCGGGACGGTGGTCACGTACGGGGCCCAGATGGATGAAAGTATAGCTACATATCATGGTCGAACAATCTCGGCTCTAACAAACACAATGATGTGTTAAACGATTTGTTCCACTCAGATTACAGATTGCACCTTCTCCATCTTGTTTTCTGCTATTTAAAAAAAAAAACTATGGCTTTCTATGTAAATTTATAGTTAAAGCAGCAAATTTCCAAAGAGTAAAGATAAGTGTCTCTTTTGATTTTTTTTTTTTTTTCCTTCCTCCCCTTCGATTTACAAAGAAAACTTAAAAACTGGATTCGGGTTCGAGTTCGATGACTAGATATCTACGTCACCGCATCAGATCGGGTGAAAAATGATATCCTGTGCCTCTACCACATCAAAAAGAATCAGTCTAGTGTAGTGGAAAATAAAACGAATTGCTGATTCTGTTTAGAAATTTTCAATTCAACATGAACTGCCTTTAAAGCTTTCTCACTTCTAAACATTAATATTTAACAAAATTATTTTCGTAAAAGACACCTTTTACGTCTTTCTTCTACTTTTTTCTCTTAGAAAAAGAAAGAAAAAATATATATATATATATTTTACATACAGTCTTTCTTGTAATCGAATCGTATCGGCAGAAGGAAAGGTTTCATACAAGGCAGTACAGAAGAATACTGTATTTTTTTTTATTTTTCACAAAAGTGCTAGATGAGGTTAACGGTATACCACAAAAGGATTTTGTATAGCTTTTTGACGACTGCATTTACTGAAAAAGCAGGCCAGGAAACGAACGTTTTGTTATATTTTTCAACATTTCTACTCCAGTATAAATTACATTTTATAATGTTACTTTCTGATATCAGTTCTTATACATCCCTTTTTTATTATTATTAAGAGAGAATTTTTGTTATCATGATAGAA